GTCAATAGAGTGATCCTCAAAAAAAAAAAAAAAAAAAAAAAAAAAAAGCAACGATATCAATGATCATGTCACTTTCTACGTCAAGCCTTCCATGCCTCCATTCCTGCAGAAACACTGCTAAAGCAGAACAGCTGATACCTGTGCTCAGTCTATAAGCTATAATTTTGGCTTCTCTCACTTGATCCTAAACATTTCCTTAATCACTTCTGGCAACCACCACCTCAAACTTCAATTTCCTCTTTGCAATAGTTTAAACATACACCAAAACTTTCATCGCCTAACGTCCCTGGGTGCCCACTCACACAACTCTCGCTTAGATGCCTCCTATGCTGCAGGACTCACTTTCTCACATGGCAGCCTTTGCTAATATTGAGCAGCTATAAAGCTCTGCATGTCTTTGCTTATGAAACACAACTCTGCTGCATAACTATTATTTGTTGCTCCTGCACCTGCCCTGCAGAAAATGTTCTGTCTCAAGACACTTCTCAGAAGTGATTTCAGGGAAACACGATTTAAAAACATCATATGTGAGCCAGAAGTTCCAGGTTCCTCTAACCATTTTTTTTCATATGTATGATTTCTCCCATCCTCACCCACTCTCTTCTTCATTCCCGCACCTGCCTAATACATCCAGACTCCTCTCAGAATCAACATGGGGGTTTGTACAATGCACTCTTGAAGATAATCATAATAATTAGAAACAATAATAATAACATTTAGCAACTGTTCTTGGCATATGGAAATGGGTGTTTTGACCTGGGTTGTATGATTTGAATTATTTATTCTAGTATTTATTCATTAGCAAGGAGGATATACAAAGTAAAGCACAGCCCCTGCCTGCCTATGTTTCAAGGTCTGGAGGGGGTGCGTAATCCTGGAAGCAGCTATTACAGCTCAGTGTGATAGAAGCATGTGGGCTTCAGGGAGCAATGAAGAGGTGTCCCTAAAACAGTATGGGGAGATGGAAAAACCCAAAGGGATGGAGAAAGTCCTGCAGAGAAACTGCTGTCTACATGGAGATTTAGCACATAATAAGAGATAACCAGAAGAAGGGAGTGGGCAGGACATTGCAGGTGGCACACAGAGCAAGAACGAAGGTACAGAAACAAGGCAGCATATACTATTACTCAGAGGCTTCAGAGGTTTTAACGAATTCTTATCAGGGCAATGTGTATTAAGAGGTCAATTCTGTGTCCAAACTAAAGTTCAAATGGAGTTCTAGAAGGGAGAGATTCCTGGAGCTTCAAGTTGTCAGGACAACCTTGATGGAGGGGGAGGGTCCCAAAGTGGGGCCCGAAGGAAGAACACATTATAGATAGCAGAGAGGAGGAGAGATAGATATCTATATGCAAATATGTCCGCACACATACATCTGCTTCATATGCATTTAAACCTTAGATTGACTTTCACTTGCCTTCCACTTTGGTTTCCATAGTAACCCTAGCCACTTATTTTTCTTTTAACCTCCTTTTCATTGTTTCAGGATAAGGTGGGCTCCATGAGGGTTAACCAGTCAGGGAAAGACAAGAGATTTTAAAGCAATTATTTGGATTTGAAAAAAAAAAAGATAGAAAATCTCCAACTTTGCAATTTAATGCAAACTGTCTCTGGTATATTTGCCCTGAAGGATGCTGTAGGGAGAAACAGGAGCCAGAATTCTTCTCGTCCCCTCCTCCCTGACTTCTATTATTACCGTGCACTTACTGCTAATACAGCATCTAAACTTGCAATCTCGGTAACTATGGCAATAAAATGGGTGAGATTCCCTTCCATTATGACTTGAATTGTTAGGACTTTGCAAACAGCACGTGCGTTTGCACAGGGGAGGAGGAAGACACACTCTGGGGAAAAATAGTGATTTCAGCTCCCTGTGGGGAGTTGGAGATCGTTGTCAATCATTCCACATCCACATGGAGAATTATCACTGTCCCCATGTCAGAGGATGCAGACACAGTGCCCAGTGGGTGCAGTGTACATCCAGAGCTAGCAGAACTCCTTTGCACAGCCAGTAAGGCCAGGAGGCCAGGGCTGCACTGAGCTTAAAAGAGTTGTTAGGTAGTAGGCAAGAGAGGAGGATCTAATCCAGGGGCCAGCAAACTTTCTTTATAAAGGGAAAATCTAAGGCTTGAAGGTATTGCAGTCTCTGTTGCCACTACTTACACTGTTGCATACAAGCAGTCACAGACATAATGCAAGTAATTGGGTAGACTATGCTCTAGTAAAATTTTATTTATGGATACTAATATCTGAATTTAGAATATGCTTCACATGCCATATTTTTTCCTTTATTTTTCCCAACCATTTAAAAATGTAAAACATATTCTTAGTTCAAGGATTCTACAAAAACAGGTGGTAAGCTGGATTGAGCCATAGACTATAGTTTGGAATTTCGCATTCCTCTCTGCCAACAACTGTGCATACCACACAGGCAGGTTTTGTTATGAATTCATAACCTTTTAATTTATCATTATTATAACATTTGTTATTTTAGTAGCATTAGATATTGCTGCCACTATTGGCTATGATTTTTATTATTGAGTCTATCAAGAATTGTCCTAAGTTCTGCGTATTTCATATTATTTAGTCATTACCAAAACTCACCTCACAGATGAGAAAAAAGATTGAGATGCTTAGGCTGACATTTATAGAAGTATTATTGACCTGCCAGCCTTTAACCCAGGAGAGTCTCTGCATCCACCACGTTTTGGGCCTTACTCTCAGAGGGCCGGACCATCAAACCTAAAAATTCCACCTGTGAGTACAGCCCAGGACTGTCAAAAACCTTCCTTTTGCAATGAGTGCAATGAGCTGGGGTTCATGGGAACTCAGTGGGAGTGGGACCCCTGCTGGTCCAAGTCCCTGATTTGCCTTTTGCCTTGGCCTAGGTGACAGCATAGTCATGTTCACCATCTCCTGACTTGTCTGGAAGAGCCCTCAACATTCTCACCTGCCTCCCGTAGCTTTGCAGCCTCTGCTTCCTCATTTCCTTGCTGTGCTGCCTTGATGCTGACAGCGGAGCCCCTGGGTGCACAGACTTCCATCACTGGCCTGCTATTCTCAGTCCTCCTGCCCCACCTCCATCCTCTCCAGGCACTTTGAGGAGAGGCTCTGTGGACTTGGGATGCTTAGTCAGGAGAGAAGAATGCCCCAAAGCTGGGGAAGAAGATCACTGTCTTCCAATCTCTAAGGAGGCAGGAGATGTTAATTATTCAGGACAGTCGCAGAGAGAAAAACTAGGAATCCTGAGCAGAATTTATAAAGTGGCTGATTTGTGTCTTACAGATATTATTCTAGGTCACTAAATATACCTACTGCTACAGGCAGCTGTGATGCCGTGGAGATAAGGTTAGATGGGGGTCTGAACTTCAGTCTTTTCCCAGGACTTTAGTCTGTCCCATTTTAATAGTTGGGCCCAACTGTTCCATTTCTGCCTTCTGCCCTGAGCAAAGTGTCTTTATGACTTTGTGAAAAAGTTTGGCTGCAGCTGCCCTTGATCTTCTTGGCAGGTGATATGACCTTGGAAAGTCAGGTCCCTTTCTGGGCCTTATTTTCCCATGGGTGCCACGTGAATGACAAGATCACCACCCACTCCAAAGATCACCAATGTCAGGCCTTTCTGCTCAGCTCCTGAGGAGCAGGCACATCTGGCTTTTGGATCCATTACTTTTCATACTTTTATGAGATTTCCCCCGCCCCCAGTTCCTAGGAAATTACTGCTGTTCTTTCTTTGGAAAGAACGTTCGCTGGGACCTGTGCTAAGCAAATGCATTCGGCTTCTCTCTATCTGATTTCTCTTTTTCTCATTTGTCAGCAAAGGAGAAACCTCCTAGCTATTAATCAAACTCCTGGCTGTGGATAGCTTTAATTGCAGAAACCATCGCTGGATGAGGAATGCCCAACTTTTCCAAAGAAAGCCGACTGCCTAACACAGAAGAGAAACAATTAATTACCTGCTTCTCCTGTCCCCAACAGAGATGCAGATGAACTAACAATATTGCTGCTGGCACCAAATTCTCCCTTCCCAAGGTGGAGGAAAGCTAACGCAAACTCAGACAACATTCATGAGAGTGGAATACCGAAATAGTTCAGCTATCAGGCCCTGGTGAGAGCAAAAGTTTTGCATCTGGCTGGCATTTTTAAGATGGTCTCAGACACACTTGAGACCTCATTGACAGTTACTGGGATGTGTTTAAAAATCATATTCTCTGGGGAAAGATCTTGCATATAAAGGATATTTGAGAGAAGCAAAATGTGGAGGGTAAAACTTTTTTAAAAGTCATAATTAAAGAGATCAACATATTTTGTATATCACAGCTGACTGAAGTAGAATTGTGTGTGGAATTTACACTATCACATCAGAAGAAATATCAGGGAGGTGGACTTGCAGAAAGAGCTGCTTTCCCAAATGAAGTTAGATTTATCTCTGGTGGTATTCAAGAATACTTTGGGGATGTTATAAATAAATCTTTGGATTGTACGGGAGGCTTATTTAAATGATTTTGAGTAGCTAACTTCCCCTCCTTTGAGTCTTTCTTATAATGCCTTTGGCTTACTTCAAAGGCTATATAGAAAAACTAGTGACAGAGAGAGAATTGAGCTTAAGTTTAGAATTTGTTTGAAAAAAAAATAAAGGTTGGTATTAGAGCACTATGGAAACTAATACTAGAATACATTTAAAAAAATCTTTAGTTGTCACAGGAATATGATTATATATATATATATATATATATATAAAGCCAGGCTGGGAACTCTGTTGCCTTTTTTGCATTCACAATACCTAGCAGATACCTACACAAGGGAAGGATTAATGAAGTGTTTGTAAGCACTGAGTCAAATTAAAACTTGCATTCTGATTTGAGTCCTCAGAAGTGATTCTGTCAAGTTATAAAGAGAATGAGCCCAAGTTAAACTGCCCCAGATCTAGACCTTAGTTCCTTGTTTGCTAGGTGAATTAACTTGAGCTGGTGGCATAAACTCTGGGTGCCTCAGTTTCCTCAAAACCTTCTCCCGAACTCAATGAAGTTATAAATACAAAACACAGCAGAACTTTTGAAAGGAATAGCAGGCATTTATTCAGCCCATGAAATGTTTGAAGCACTGTTCTATGCATTTTGTACACATTTATTTTAATCTTCATGCTAACTTTATTGCTGAATGAATCTGAGGGACTGAGTGGGTAACCGATGTGCCCAAGGCCACTCGCTAAAGAGATGGTAGCACTGGGATTCTGGATCAGGGCTCTCCATTGCAGATTGACAGCTACTTCACAAGCATCACAAAAATGATGATGACCATCATTTTTGTCTTACTGTAACTCCAACTTTTCTCCCAACTGGTTTCTATTCATTCCTCTCTACCTGTGACTGCCCGTACTACTTGTCTACTGCACAAAAAATTGCCTGAGCTGAGTTTTTAGGACCCTGTTTGATTTCTTAGAATTTTTGCCATAGAGCTTTATGTGGGCTTTGCATTTGATAGATGCTGTTTCTTTATTGGCTGAGTTGATGAGTAGTATAATGATCTCATTTACTCAACAGGGCCATGTTACCTGGACAACAGTCTGTGGCTCTTCGTTACTGCTCCAATCCTTTAGTGTGCTAGGTTAGAACTCTATCATGGCCAGCTTTTCCTTTTTCTTTCTGTATTTGTTTATTTATGTATTTACTTATTTATTTCCAGGTAGAGTGGCTGCGTTCACATAGGTAAGTGACCTAATCTCTCTGGGTTTTGGTTTTGGTTTACATAATAACTAAGTGACCTGATCTCTCTGGACTTTTGTTTGAGTTTCTTTTCTTTTGGTTTTGCCAACCTGCTGTGGGGGGATTCAGCAATGATATTGGGGACGTGAATTCTTTGGAGCGCTTTCTCCCAAGTTAGTAATTTGCACATTTACTTCTCAACCTAAAAAAAGCTACTAAGGGGGAAGGTCACCGAAGTTCCGTTGGTGATTTACCTCTGAATTCCTCTGGTTTGATTTACCTCCGTTCCTGGTAAGACCAAGACCTCCATCTTTCACGGAATTAGCTCCTTTACGGTAGTTAGAATGTGGTAGGTCAGGGAAGGGGATAGTGAAGCTCTTGGTTCTTTTCAGTTGTTTGAGTTTCTTTTCTTTTTGTCTCCAAGTGTTTTCCTTTTCCTCACTGCTCTTTTCTTCTCTTGCATCTATCAGGCTCTCTCAGCAGCTTCAAATGGAAAACTTTGAAGTAAGTGAACTTAAAAGAAGACTGAAAGCTCAGTGAGATGTCTGGCGATCCCTCGGGCAGCTTTGCTACACCGCTGTTGGTGGCGGAGCTGATCCTGGGCTGTCAGGCTCGCCCCTCTAGGCTCCCGGCGCCCGGGCCTGGAGCAGTGGAGGGCTGCACTGGCGGCGGGCTGGACTCGCCACCAGGCTGCAGAGCAGTCCCCAGGTCTGCGCAGCCCCGCGGGGACTCAGCGCGCGGCGCCCATGATCCTGCAGCCCGCGAGGCCCCGCGAAGGACTTCTGAGCAGCCTTTTAAGCTGCCGGCTGCTTTCAAAATGGGTCTTTGAAAGGGTGGGCTCCGGTGACTCTGCACTGGGGGACCGAGCTCCGCTTTTCAGGGAGGACCTGCTGGCGCACACGTGCCCGCCTCGGTGGCGCTCGCCTGCTTTTCCGAGAGAATAAAAGGAAGTCAGCTCTGGTTGGTGTTCGTGCGCACGCTTGCAAGCCTTTATTTACGGAGGAAGCCTTGACTCCTGGAGTTCTCACTGGCCATCGGGGATGAATGGAGCATTTGAAGTGAAAATAGTGAAATTTTTTTCTTTGGGATATTTCCTTTTTTGTTCCCCTCTCTCTCCCTTTCGCCCTCAAAACTCGGTGATATCATTTTACTTAGTGATTCAATGTGGGAGGGAAAAACCATACAGACATATGTCTAAAATTAAACGGGATAGTTCAAACCTTGCTCCAGGCGGAGAAATTAAGTGTCTATTAGTCAGAGGAGGGAGGGAGTAGCTGCCACCCCGCGACCTTGCCCTCACTTTTTTCCTGCTTTTCCCCAGGCCTTTAGCCCTGGGTTGAATGATCAGAATTTCCAAGCCACAGGAAAGGAGGTGGTGCGGTGGTGCAATCCAGGGGCGAGAAAACTTGACCTACAACCAGACAGTTGGGGTCTGCATTTTCTGCAGGTCACTTAATGTTGTGAAGGTGCCACCCTGGTTTTTTTTTGCGTCAACAGAGGGTGGAATTTTGCCTTAAATGTGTTCCTGTTTCTTCTGGCTCATTTTATTCTCTTTGTCTCTTTATTGAGGTGTGCTTGGCATTAAAAGGCTACTAATGTTTCATATAAATGCCTTGGTGAGTTTGGGGATAGATAAACACCTGCAAAAAACATCACCACCATCAAGGTCAGAAACTTATCCATCACCTCTCAAAGTCTCCTCCTCCCACCTACTTTATGGATATTACTATTATTTGTGGCAAAGCATTTAACATTGATCTACTTTCTTGACATATTTCGAGGTGAGGAAATCCTTTCATTTCAACCCCACCACCACTGTGGAACCCGGAGGGCATAATGCTAAGGGAACTAAACCTCTGACTCCTGTTTGGGTCAGTCCTTCCTTGCACTAAACCTGAAGGTATGACAGTACCCAAATCTCTCCTGAGTTCCTTAACACTGACTCCCACCTGTGATACCCCCCCCCTTTTTTTTTTTTTTTTTTTTGGTACAATTGCCTGATCATCCTTACCTGTACTTTTAAAAACCCAACTTCTTCTAAGTTATCCCTGTCCTGCCAGGGCACCTCCAGCTTCTGTTATAGAAGCATGGTCCTACCCGTAGGGCATACAAAGCCATTTAGCAGATGGTACTGGGTTAGAAAGATAATGCATGTACTCAAAGATGATTTGTTTGGAAGGATCATTACTTATTCAGAGTTCCATAAGAAGGTTATCAGTGAATCAGTGTGAGCCCAGAAGAACAAATTGAAATAAAATTTCCCAGAAAGGGAATGCAAAAATCTCTAGGGAGGTTTGGTCTTCCCCATCTCATATGAAAACAGGATTGAAAGATCTCTATGAATTCATAGGCAACACAGAGAGCAGGGAAACCAGAATCCAAGAAAATGCAGATTTTCTGACTTCAAGGGATGCTCTTTCCAGTACATCACACACAGTGAATTGCTGTCTTCCGAATCCTTCCTCTTTCCTCTCTCTTCTGGTTAGAACTCTATCTCATAATTCCTTACCTCCGACTTTCGTGTCCTGAAGCCTTATCAGACTGTGACAGGCAGTCTTGGGCAGGCAGCCCACTTGGTACCCTGTGAATAGTACATTTTCCATTCTCACACACACACACCATGTTGTATACTGAAACCCTATCCCCTTTAGCAGGAGGGAACTGTTAATTATAGACACTCATGGGCTCTGTGTTCCAAAAAGACCCAGTGCGTGTCTTTGTGTCTGGCCCAGCCCAGCAGAGAAAGGCTAAATTGTGTTTGAAAGCCTTACAAGCAGAACTTTAATTGAGGCATAAAAGCGTGTGCCTTGATCTTCCTGGGCCCTGTGGTTCTCTCATCACCTGCATCCTGTTCCTGATGACACAGTTTGGAGCAAAGCCCACAGTGAGGCCTGTGCCAAAGGCTCCAAGCAGGATGCTGTAGCTGCCACCCTCCCTTCCTCTTCACCAGGATTGAAAGCTCTGCCTGTGTATATTTATCTCTGCGATACATGTGAAGCAGCCTAGCCGTGATCTCTGCATTCATCTCCCCTGTCCTATAATTCAGGCCTGTGTCCTCAGCCTTCAAATACTTCTGTGAGAGTTTCTCCTTTTCCCTTAGCACTGCCCTCCCCTGCTTGCATAATTCTCCTGGACCTGTCCTGAACCCCATTTTGACGGATTCACTGACTGAGCTGGACTTTGGTGTTTTGCAGTATGCCTCCTGCACGCATTCAATCGTTCATTCACTTAATATATCCTTCCTTCATTTATCCATGCATTTCTCCAATCATTCACTCATTCATTCGTCCCATTTTCAGTCTTTAATTGATGGGGCCAAAGGGAATGAAATGTGTAATAAGTTATTAGACTCATGGTGAAAATATAATATCTACACAGATATCTCTGGTACTATATGTAAGTTGGATCTTCTAAGTTTAGGACAAGCTACTGGTGGGCCTGGAGAGAGGTTTACTTTAAGTTGACCCTCTCCTACATTGTGTGTCTAAGATAGTTTTAAAGTGTTATAACCTTTTTACTTCCTTTTCTTCCCCATAGCAACCATTCTCTGTTCAGTAGACATTCTGTTAGGAAATACAATACATAAAAGGGACAAGGGGTCTGTGTTGGATGGAGTTGAGGCTGTGCTCAGGAATCTTGCTCATTCAGTCTCCACAAACCTGCCCTCTCATCCTATGTAGCTTTGCAGGGATTGTGAAGAACCCCCTTCAGTATAGGAACTAAAGAACTGAAGACATCAGAAGGCTGCCCACAATGCCCAAGGCAACTGTGTTTCATCAGAAGTGTGAAGTATGAACCAGCTGTACCAAGATACTCAGCAGTAAGGATCGGCATATCTATCAGCTGCACATAGGAGTCAGTTTTGGTGGAGGGAGTGGGATAGCATCAGGGGTATGGGATGAAGCAGGCATATGGAAAGTATCCAGGTGCACACTGTCAGACCTCTTACCTTATTGAATTTTTGACAATCCAATGACATCAGGAAACTTGCATCACTACATTAGCATTCCCATGTTATGGACCAGGAAACTGAAGCACAGGAAGGAAAGTGATCTCAGCACCCAGCTTAGACGTGAACAAGCCGAAACTTGAATTTGAGCCTTTGGATTGGCCTTCCTATATGTGCCTCTCTTGTCCTGCACTTTAAAGGATGATGCATCACCTGTCCCTCTTCTCCAGACATGAATAGGGACATGACCCCGAGCGTATGCTTCCTGTCCATTAAAAAGACTAGTTCCCCTTCACTTCTTGCTTATTATCCCCTTATCGTTACCTGTGGCAGACAGATTAGTGTGTGTCACTGGAAGATAAAGACCCCCCTCAGATCTTCTGACGGAGCTGCCTCACCTTGGGAAAACAGATTACAACATCCCTCCTAGACATAGCCAGAAAACAGGATCTGGAGGCCATGCCCTTCCCTCTCCCCCAGGCTTCAAGGATGAGGCTGTGCAGAAGCTTCCAGAACAGGGGCAATTTCCCCCTTAGCCATCTACAACTGGGGTAAGGCAAGCGGGGACTTATCTGAGGAACTTTTCCCATCTCTTCTTTGTCACCTGTGTTTCAAAGGAGAAAAGAGTCTATGCAGAAGGAGGGGACAGTTATGGTTTCCTATAGTCATTGAGAAGGTCAACAAACCCTTCCAATGAGCCTAAACCTGCCTTGTGAGGCGTGAGGCTTTCCACCAGGGTTTGAAAGTATATGCAGACCCCCAAAAGAAAAGATCTATAATGATGCAATTGCTCCTTGTTGCTGAGGGCCATTGCCAAGTAGGAATGACGCATCGAAATTTTCTTGCCAGCGTACCCATGTTAAATGGACTTGCCTTGGAAATTTGCTATGACATTGCATGTGTCTTTGAGAAAGATGACCCTGATCAAGGACCAGGTTGGATCCAGGTTTAAGGTGTATCCTGCAGGTTTGAGGAAGTATCCTGCTCCTTGGGTTTAGGGCGTTCCCGGTTTCAGACAAGTTTAAGACAAGTTTAAGGCTTTCCAGGTTTAAGACAATTGGGGTTTTAGGGAAGTTCCAGGTTGAAGGTTATTCCTGCTGGGAATAGGGCGCGTTCCTGCTGCTTGAGTTCCCCTTGAGTTCTCGTGGAATTGAAAAAGTATTTGGGACGTGAATTGTGCGGCAGAACTTGGATTTCCCCAGCACGTGTTTGTAGAGGCCGGTGTGAGTTCGGGAATAAAGAACTGCTGTTTGAATCTACAAGGTGGTGAGTGGCTCGTGATTCTGTGCCCAGCCAAGACTGCGGCACCTTGTCTTTGGAATAGCATTTTGAATTAAAAGGAAAAAATAAAAAGCTTTCTTGTGCATTATCTTATTCATTCCTCAAACTGATCCTCTCAGACAAGACATAATCATTCCCACTTTACAACGGGAGAAACTGAGGCCTAAGTGAATGTGAATCATACAACTAAAAAGCTGCAGAGCCAAATTTTAAGTCCAGAACATCTGATTCAAAGGCAGAAACATTACTATTCTCATCATCAACTCAATCTTATGAGTATTTATAGTGTTGGGATATAAATTTGCCAAGGATGGAGTTTTGAGATCAAGCTCCTTACAGGTTACTTTAGTAAAGCTTTAATAGGACATTCCATGTAGCAGTTTAGAAGGAATAGGGAAGTTAAGAATCTCATCTGCAACAGTTTGTCTCAGTCTAAGATGGGGAAACAGAAAATGACACAGAGAGAATTTTAAGGAAGACTTTAAGGCAGTCCACCTTCTGGGACATTAGTTTCTCATAAGACAATCTCCTGAAAGAGATAAGAAATTCTGTAAATTGTGGGGTGAATTGCAAATGAGAAGAGGAAAAGGATTTAAAATAGCAACGGTGCACAGCAAGCTCTAGTGCCAGGTCCTTGCCAATATTTTTCAGAAGAATTCTCTCTTAGTGTGTGCTATTTGAGTTCTGTAGGAAATCATGGCCCCAGCTTTTTTTCCTGTCCAGTCCCAAT